CATGATAAAGACCCGAAAACAATTTCATTTTTTAATGTTGTTAGGACAAAAAGGAAATCGGTTGCACGCACACAGAGTCAGCACTGCCAGCTCCACCTTCTACATTATGCCCAAAACCTCTAAATAAACACTTCTTAAAACTAAGTAATAACCATACAATAATCATATAATATGCAGGTTTGTGTTGGTATGGAAAGGAAAATGGTATGAAGCTGTGTTGTGGAGGTTTAGGTTGGATATTGGGAAAATATTTATCATCCAGCAGGAGTTGGGGCATGGAACAGGGCAGTGGTCACACAGCAAGGCTGACAGAGCTCAGGAAGCGTTTGGACAACGCCCTCAGGCACAGGGTGAGATACTTTGGGTGCCTTGTGCAGGGCCAGAGGTCGGATGATCCTGATGGGCCCCTTCCAACCCGAGATATTATATGATTCCATCAATTATTACTCAATTTCCAAATTCATTAAAAAGCAGCTATGGCTGTTTTGTGTCCTAGCTGTTAACTGGACTGTTAAATATGATCTGCTATCTGTACAGCCACACAGGTGTACATATACCAGTTTTCCAAGCAGACTGGAACCTGTGTGAAATTAGACCTGCCTGACTGCAAGTCTGCCAGCCACTGGTGTACCTTTGGATACACCTGAAGCACAGAACTGTTGCCTCAGTAAACAGGTATATTAATTTAGTGCCAGGGTAAATTACCTGATTTGTGCACAAGCAGATGGTGTACAATCACTGCCAAACTTCTAAAATGTGAGCATTAAAAAAATAAATAATTTAATGCTTTTATTCTACACTGGGTTTGGTTTTTTCAGTACTCTGACAGCAACCTATGTTTTCAAAATTAATGTTCCAGTTTTCATGCATGCTTGGATAAAAGAGATGATTATAAAGGATTTTTGTGGGAGATGTCATACAAACTGAGAATGTCCTTCAAAGCCCTTTAAAGGCCTTTTTTATTTTTTCAGAAAAATGTTAATGCAGCATTTTTTCTCAAGACAGTTATTATTTAATCAATTCAGTAAATCTTTCGCATTTGCAACAATCTTGTATAGAAAAATATATACACATTCCAGAATCCAGTATATTATTCCCTGGAAGAGAGAAGTGCACAATGCTGGGTAGATTACATTTCCCCCAAAACACTCAACAAGCAGCACTTTCAACTCACCCCAGAGATCCTTAGCTGTAACCTATTAGCATTCATGAGAACTTCTGAAAGAGTCCTCCACCAACTGATGGTGCACAGGGGAACTCTTATCTCACTTCTTCAGACTTGTAAAATGTATTTCATCTGATTTCAATTTTTCAAGATATATTGCAATGAAGAATAGGTACGTGACTCTAACAATGTAAAGTTTTGCAGTTAACTCATTTTCAAATGTTCTAGGACCATTACTGCTAGCAGGGATATATGAAGATCCAGAAATAAAACAAATACTGATGAGACTTATGATTTTATAAATATCATAAATAGTTTATGCAGGAATCACTCATTAACTTCAAAGAACATTGGGACAGAGTACAAATCTATAAGTCTAATTAATGGAAAGCCTGCCTTTTACTTCAATAATGTTTTTAATGCTGAACCCTTAAATTCCATCTCTTATTTAAAGGCACTATTAAATCCCTCCTGCTTCACTTTCTCACTATATCTTCGGCCAATCTTGATGCCCACGCATAGCACTCCACAGACTAGATACTAAAAACATTTCCTTTTCAGAAATGCCCTTGATTAAACGCCTTTTTTAAAATCTTGATTTCAAAAGACACATTTTTGCTGCAAACCACGAGCAGAGAGGAAGAGCTCACCTGGCTTGTCCTACCACCTCTGTCTAGCAGTAACCTGGCACTGAAAGCCACCAGCACCTTGGCATGGCCATGTGCTTCATCCTGCTCCTAATCCACACAGCTCACTCTAAAGCCTGAACCACACTGGAGTTTCTTCCCACTGGCTAATAGGCACACACTCTAATAAAACAAATTATTTTAGAAGACTGGCACAAGTGTAGTAACAAATCTTACAGAGAAACTCTTTAAAAATCCTCTGAGCAAAGCATGGAAGGAACGTGTTAGAGAATGTCCAAGCCAGTCTTCTGCTGGCCACAGCCGGGTAAATGCAGTAATTAAACCACATAATCATGCTGCATAAGCACAGCACCATCATTCTGTCCCTGTGCTGCAAGAGACTGCAGATGCAGCAGCCATTTTATAAACCCCATCACAGAACACAGAGTGCTCTTTTTGGGTGAGCTGTGCTACACTCTCCCCTTCATTCTCACACAGTGCAGGTACTGTCTCTGGGGTGAGCAGCTCTGTGCTGACAGGGTCTATTTTTAGGTCTCAGAAACAGCATTCTTCTCAACCTCTAGACACTGTGCCCCGAACCACATGATCAGCAAATCAGCACATTACTGCTGACTTCTGAGTCTTTTCAATCTTATATAAACAACTTTAAACTTGTGTCACCACAAGGTAACACAAAACAAATAATATTTCCCCAAATGTTTTATCTTTTACATAAATAACTTATTCAGAAAGATTTGCAAGAGGCAATTAAAGTACCTTGCTGAGTAACTAAACTTGGAAGGAACATAGTGAGAAATGACTCAAAAAGGATGTAGATCAAAAAGAGAAACACAAAAAAAAAGTCAAACAAAAAAGCCCCACTCAGATCTTCCTCATTTTTCTTTTACGGTTCTAATTAGAAAATTTTCACTATTAAAAAAGTGCCCTTGTACAAACTTCACCAATTAAGAGAAGAAACCTTTAAAATCACATTTGAATAAAGAGAAAAAGAGGGAGGGAAGGAGGAGGAAATGATATAAAGTAAATGTATCGACTGGTCCACAACCTTACTGTGTGACTCTGCTTAAGGAAGCCTACAGCATCTCGTGGCCTTCTCGTATCATTCTAGCTTGAATATCATCAATAAAAGCACTGGCAACATTATTGGGTTTTTTCCATATAAAATCACCCACTTTAACTTATTGTACCTTTTCATGTCTGTCAAGAAACATGGAAATTTGTCTATAAGAAAAACTTCATTCAAGTGACTTATTGAAATCTAAATTATTAAAAAACTCGTGAGACGTGTCAAATTGACAGACCTCTTCCACATATCTGGATCAAATTTGAAGTAAAGATCAAGTTATTTTTCTATAAGCCTTGGCAGAATTATGGATTTCACTTGAAGATAAAATTCATTTTCACACCAAATAACTGAGTTACTTTTTAAGTTTTACACCCAAGACTTACACTTCATTGGACAAAAACTGATGATAGGAAGTAAGCAGAATATTTCCATGCAATTGAGAAGGAAATTCAGAGCCTCTGTCTTAAACTAAAAAAATCATGCCTTAGTTTCAGCAGCTGAAAAATTTTACAAAGAATTTCAATATCAGGAAATTAAAACAAAGACCAAAGAAAGTAGCAAAAACCACACGGAAGTAAAGCAGAAGGTCTCCAAATACTTGAAATAAAACCATTTTTATGAACTCAACTTTGTGTTATATTAATCTAGGAAAAAGTACATTTTCACCTCATGTTACCCAGCACACAATAAAAAATTCAAAGTAAGAATCCCAGGGACAGAAATTCAGCTATAGATATGAGTAGGACAAGACAAGCTATGAAAGAGTAACACAATACACATTTTAGTTCTCTCAGTGAATAACCTGTATGTATGTGTATGGCTTGTACAGTCAAGAGGAACCTTCACTGAGCAACTTGGGCTCTCTGCTCAGGAGCTGAGACCAAGCTGTGCCTTCAGGCATTTTCAGCACTGCATAAAAGCTACCAATTATCCTGTCTTCAGGATACTTTTATCATACATTAACTACCAAAAAGCAAATGCAAATATTGTTTCAGAGACATGAGAGGATGGCTTTAACTCTGATAAATTAAATGCAAAACAAGATTAAAAGGAAAAAAGAGCCTAAAACTAAGTATCTTAGAAGGAATAATAACATTAAAAGAAAGAAAGTGGAAAATTATTTGAAAGAAATAAACATCACTAAAAGAAACCAGTGATGATAAGAATTAAATTATTCTACTAACAACCTTCGAGCAGTATCTTTGGAAAGTGATAGCTGGAAAAGGAGAGAACAAGGTACTACTCTCATGTCTGTATTTGGGATTTCCTGTATTAGCTACACACTTGGAATTTTTCCCACTGTTTCTACATCAGAATGGTTTTAGTTTTACATTTATTAGCATGGTAAGTTTTCAAATAAAAATTGTGGCAGCTTTTATTTGCTTTAAAAATATACAGAATTTCAAGCAGATAACAATAAGTGCTGTTATTATAATGACTTTGGTTTCATGTCATTGGTATAATACATCTGCCCAGAAATCTCAATTTAATTAAGTCTATTGTGTCTATGCATAAATATAGCATTAAATCTGTTATTTCCCCATACCTTTAAAAATAATATATCGGGCTATTTTCATTATACTCCTCCCACAAAGATGCTTAACATTTAATTGCCAAGTGAAACAAATAGTATATTTCTAAGGTTCCATATTCACAGAGACAACATTAGAAGATAAAAAAGTAGTGCAATTAAACACTGTTAAAATAGAATAGGAAATCTGATATTGTAATATACTTTTTCAATTTTCTTGTCGACAGGCTTAAGCTTCTTCACATAACATCCCATGACACAATACCTGACAAAGAAGCACCTCAAGCATTTAATTATATTCTGTAGCATTTGCCAAAAGCTTATTAAAAGAGAACATATAAAATAACTTGCATCATCTCAAGGTATCACACAAAAGTGACCATGTAGATTTTTAAGTGAATGGTGCCAACTGTGTAAGAGTTTAGTGTAGCTCTTGTCTGATTTGAATAAACCACTGCCTGAAACACGATCCCAATATCCCATCAGGATCTTTCAGCACTTAAAGGAATTAGTCCTTTGTTCCTCTAAATGCTGAGTGAAGCATCAGCTGTCACCTAGAGGTGATGGACAGAAAGTCAGCATGTTACTCACCAATAAAGTAGTTGTTTCCTAATGCAAGCATCTCTTCAGAAAGCACAAGCCCACCCAGTGCCTGGAGAAGAGTGACACTTCTGCCATCGATAAGGGAGCACTGTTTAAATCCAGTGCTTGTGACCTTCCATAGCAGGATGAGAGAAGCAGTAGCATCTTGCCTTATTCTAAGAAAAGAAATTGTGAGAATATTTACACTGAGGGAAATCAGTGCAATGAGGAAGTACATCACTGTAAAACTGAACCTTAACAAAGATGGGAAATTTAAATCTAGCAAGTATGGAATTAGGAAAAATCCTGATGTCTTTAGCATGTCCACAAAACTTAAAATTGCTTCAATTGTAAGATTTGCATAATAGTTGATGTAATAGCAGATTAAATCATACAGATTTCCAATTTCCAATACTTAAAGGTCACCATCTTAGTGTCCAAGAAGAGTTTGAGATAAATACCACATAATAATAAAGTATATCCTTATAAAGGATCCTTATTCAGTCTTTGTACTTATGCCTTTTTGAGTATTACCTCCATCCTAGAGTGCCATCATTTTCTGCAGCTGAAGTACATCCAGCCCTGTTGTTTACTGAAGAACATTCAATGTTCACTCAATACCAGGAGACAGATCCTGGTAGAAATCCTCATTTGTTTGACACACCAGATCGAAGATTCAGGACAGTTTATTCTTGTAAATCAAATGAGTCATGTAATGCTCCCAAGGTCACTGAGCCCATGGTGCCTTCCTGAATATTGACAGATTGGATATAAAGTCTACTACTGCATCCACACTGTCGGCTCCATTAGGGAGCTACATTATGCCAGCCTTTGTATTCACAAAGCACTTTTTTTCCTACTCACCTCCATAAAAAAAAAAAAAAAAAAATATGTATTTCTGGTAAGTTCCCAAGTATTTGCATTCATTTCCTATAAAGGAATCCCAAATGAGTTTGAACAATCCTCCAAAAATACAAACACAACTGCATCCAACTGCTAAATACTGACAATTCTCTCCTGCTGAAAACAGACCTCCAAATACCTAGAGATGAAGCTCTGTCCCACAGTTTCCTGTACTGAAATTGTTTCAATCCTGCTAAAAACACAAGGCAGTTTATGCCTGGGCACTTGTTATTAGATTTCAAAACAAGAGAAGCAAAGTTTCATAATCCTGCACGACAGAAGTTGAAAATATGTTGGAACTAGGCATCATAAGAAGCAAATTTTTTACACTATTTGCACCCTCTCTTTAAGAGCAACCCCAATTGCTACTCCAAAAGCTGACTGTCTCACTTTTAGAACAGGATAGCAATTAGTTTCCCAGTTTGTGTTGATTGTCATATGAGACCCAAAGTCAGCTTATTAAACTGAAAATATTTTCCTTTCACAGATAGCCATTGAATCGGGTAAGTCACTTGGGCACATAAGATAGTAAGTGAAATAAAACTAAATCTTGACTTGCACTAATCTACACAGGTATAAAACTCTACTAAATATATACAGTGTAAAAATGATCAAAACTCCCTGTGTACTCAGCAACCTCCTTTAAAATGGGGTTTCTCCATCAAGACTCTTAAATAGAACTTTAGGGTCCACAAATGCCAGCTTTTTCCTGATTCCAAGAAAAGACACTTGTTTGCTTTCAGATTCCAGCCAGCCAGGGCATCCACACTCCCAGATCTCTTCCTGACTTGGGCTCCAGGCTCATGAATGAGCACAATTCAAACCCCGTGGGAAGGGTGGGATGGCCCCCACGTTTAACAGTTACTGCTCCAAACTGTCTGCAGCTTGTCTGCTTGCATCACTTTGTTTTTTCCTGTGAGCATGGCCTTTTTTAACAGAAACATAAGATTCTGAAAGATAAGATGACAGTATGAGAAAAGTAGGCTATTTTGGGAAAATGTGAGTCTAAAATTGCAGCAAAGCTGTGAGCCAGAGAACTACGTTGGCAGATTTTTTTTTTTTTAAATTTCCAATAAGAAAATGCCTCAGCCCAGCTGACAGAATCAGATCTTTCTTGGAAGTCAGGTTCTGTTAATTAAATGTAACAAAACAAGTATTTGATCCAAAAAGCGTGATTTTGAAAAGTAAGTAACAGAATAAGTTCCAATTTTTTGAGAAACGTGTTTTTTAGGACATACACAAAGATTTCACAGCTGATGATGACACCCAAAGCAATAACCCAGAAATCAAATAAAAATGCACAATACACATGCACTTATATAGTCAACAATAACACTATCAGCAAGTTCATCTTGAGATTAAAGGGGGGAAAAGTGTTCACTGTACAAAGCAGAAAGGAAATGTATCTTCTCCAAACTGACATTTTCAACACATCTGCCCTAATTTCTAATGCATTATGATAGCCCAGAGACAGCTTACATGCTTACATCTTCGAAAACATTAAATATGTGGGAGAAATTATGCCAAGCAAAGAGCTGTCATGGCATGCTTGAAGTCTGTATGAATTCTCCCATAGTGTTTTAGTCATTTGACAAATTTGCCTATCTGAAAAACTGTTGTTTAAAACATCCAGTCAAATGAAAATAAAAATGCTTTTGTATTTCATCACATATAAGAATATTCTCACTTTATTGATGTATTCTGTGGAACTTCAAAGGAGATAAGCCGGCCTCCAGCAGAAGTATTGGAACTGGCATTTCCACAAGCCACATCCGGGGTTATCTGAAAATAAAAATAGCTTTATTTAACAATAAACCATAAAATCAGACTGAAGAAAACATGAAAGATTTTTTTTTTTTTTTTTTTTTTTTAAGAAATGACACTAATAGACCAGCAGACATCTTCTAAAAATCCTCTGGAACATTCACTGAAACCTTTATGCTGCCAAGAAAGGTGCTGAAAAGTCACATAACCATCCTTTCAGGGGTTTGTTTTAACAAAAAACTCCAGCACAGAAGTGTGAACTTCTAAAGGCATCTTGCTTTAAAAGTGAACATATTTAGAAAAAGATGAATAGCTTTCTGGTCTTTTAGGATAATAAATAATGCTCTAACATTTGCTACATCCAAGAAATAGTGCATCATTAATTTATGGAATACTGGAGGATTTATAGTAACAAAAACAGACATTGCCTTTCTACTATATTGAAATATGTTTTTTTCCAAACACAAGTTTCCTTTAAAAAACAAACACTCTCCCACTTGCCCATTATTATTCTTTCCAAGTAGAAAATGCTTGGACAAGCAGTGCTTTCAGATGGAAAAAAAAATGATGACTACAGTGAGAGTGAAAGGATGCATTTGCCAAATCTAGTAATGCCTACTGGCATAGAAATCAGTTACATTAACTAGATCCAGATACCATACAAGGTGTCATGCAACACAGGAATCACAGAGACTCCTTAATTATTCAGATCTTCAGAAGCAGTAATTTCCTAAAGACTATTTGAAAATTATTAGTGTTTCCAAGGGTACATTTATTTCAAAGAAGTAATACTTTATGTGGCATAATTGACTATCACTTAACATCATCAGAAATTTTAAATAACTTTTCATGTATCTTCATCAACTTGCCTATGAAAAGTCACACTGGAAAAAAAAAAACAGTTTAATCTTCAAATTTCTAAGCAGTTTGCAATGCTATTCTTTGAGCCATAGAGAATGGTTGCAAACTTTTTACTCAACCTTACTGAAAATGCAAAAATGCAACCTGACACACTTGCATGAATTAATCTTACATCAAAGCAAAAGCCAGAATAAAATTTTTAAATTTAAATATAATTCAAATTCACATTTTAAATATTACATGGATTAAATTAAACACACATAAATACATGAACAACAGAAGTCCAGAATATGATGTAAATAATAATTTTTAGGACATTCAGAGCTTATCTTGACTCTGGCAAGACAAATACTCAGTATTCACATTTCCCAACTGAATGATTTCCCAGTGTCTATATTACTCAGTTCCCTGGTGTATATAATATGAATACATACAGTTCATGAAAATAAAGTGAAATGCAATTTTACTGTATTTTTTCAAATGAATTTTGAAAAATTACAATATATCCATTACAATTTTTAAATCTCAGAAGTCAAAAGTATGGACTTAACAGTCAAAGTACAACGCATCCAAAATTAGTTTGGCTAACACTTTTCCTTTTATATTTGCCAACACTTAAACTCTTTTTTTCTTTGAGAATCTGCATGCCTATTGGAACAAAGGGAGAAAAGAAATAAGTATCTTTATTCTCATACAGACTTATACTACATCTAAAATACATTCAATTTTATTAGTATTTCTATAGTTTTAAAATTTCATGCATCTATTATCTTGGAACATCGAGGGGGAATTGTAATTTAAGCATTTCATTTACCTTACTGTTTAATATTAGAAGTTTTTAAAGTAAAAGGTATTAATATCTTTGCAACTAGAATAAAAGTATCATAGAAGCAAGAGCTGAATAAAGTGGTTGCAGAACACTGAGATTTTGCCATCACAAAATGGGAAAAGACCCAACCACACAAAAAAATTTACTTTAGTTTGCTAACACATCAGAATTTAGGATTACTCATCAGGAAAAGCACACATAGGAAATATTGCAAAGATAATTAGAAGAATGAAGGTAAAAATGCATTATTTTGACTCTTCTATTAAGAGATCTGTAATGTTTGATGTATTTCTCTAGGAACTCCATTTGTAATTGGCCCTGCTTTCCTGCTCTAAAAATCTGGTAAAATAACCATCTAAACCAGTAGGATACTAAACCCAGGATTTTACAAGAGTTGAAATTTGAAAATTTTAATGTATTATTGACCCTGATACTTGGATCAGACAAAAAACAGAAGAAGCAGCAAATCTCACAAGGAAAAAAAAATGGTTTCAGCAGTGTCCTATTTCAGTCAAGTAATGTGGAGACAAAAAATGACAGCTTTGACTCCTGAATTAAGAAACAAATTGCAGTTTTTTCACAGCTGTGAGGATTTTTTATAAAGATTTTTAAGTGTGTCTCTTTCATGTCTTAACAGAGCGCTCTGCAAAACTGAACTACTGAGGAATGAAGGCAAAGACAACCAATATATTACAACAATAAAGGACTCTCAAGATGAAGACTATCTGCAATTTTCACTCTCAAAAAACAAAAGGCTGCTAGAAATGGTAGGAGGTATTTAAAACTGAAGTCACTGGGAAATATACTTTAATGGTTTTCAGAGGACAAAAATATCATTCCTAGTCTAAAATAAAAACACAAATAGAGGAGGTATCTAATGTAATTTAAAGACAATCAAAAGAACCATACCATAACTGCAATGACATCCAACACTTGTCCTGAAGCATTTAATAGTACAGAAACATCAGGACAGCGAGAAGGTTCTTAGGGAACAGACTTATAAACATTTACACAAATGATGCAGCTACTTTAAAAATAGTCACCAAAGAAAACAAAACCTTCATGCACCCTCCAGAGTCTAAAGTATGTTTAGGAGCTGATTGCAAAGATAAGCTCCTGTGTCAGAGTATACATCCAAGACTGTTCTTCATTGAGTTTAAAATTATTAAATATCCAATTGTTGACAGGAAATACAAAATTCCTCTTTACATAAATTTTCCATAAGTTTGCATCTAAATCATGACACTTTTCTTAAAATATAACATTATATATAAAGACTATTTCTGCTTCAAAGGCATTTAGACTTTACATAGGTAAAAGAGCAGCATCATTTGAGAAAGCAAGAGTGAAATCTTGAGTTCTTACTCCTACAATCTCTCCCTGGGCCTTAACAAGACAGCAGTGATTTTGTTAGATGTCCTTACCAGGCCATGGCAGTGGTATAGAAGAGAGTGCAAAGAAAATCAGGGCTGGTACCTAAGAGAGCAATAGACTGTTCTTCCATATTACAACTTTTCTGAAGAAATTAAATAGCATGAGTTAGACACTCTCCTGCCTTAAAAACCAGAATAATGAGATATACACTCTAATTCAACAAGTGCTGAAATACATACATAAATCCCAAGGCAATATTTTTACATGAGTGTCTTTATTACTTTTCTAAGTGTACTAGACTTTAATTCAATCAGGCTAAGAAGAGGAGCATACAGACTCTAAGTCTACATCTCTGCAGCCTCTCAGTGCTGAAATTAGTTCTCTGAAGATAGCTATTGTATATGAAATTTCATTGTAGATTTCTTGAAAAGTTGAGCAGACATTTGTAATTCTACAAGGCCTTATCAACACAGGCAGACTAATCCTGACAGAGCAAAATCCAGCCATTCTGCTGCCATTATATGTTTGCATTTCTTTTGTATCTCAACCCCAAGTTCATAGAATGGCAAAAGGCTTTTACTTCTTGCAAAATATGCACACTTTCCTCAAATTTAAAAGTGCTCTGTAAGTGGAATGGCCAAATTCGTATGAGACTTAGAAAGTCCTCACGACCCTATTAACAATGCATTAATAATTATTTCTGAAAACCAACAGATCTCTCCAAACATTGGAGGAAGGTGCCCAGGTACTTTGTGTACTTTCCATCCTTGCAGTTATTTAAGTCTCAGCTGAATAAAGTCCTGAGTAACCTGCTCTAGCCAACGCTGCTTGGACCAAGGGTTTGGACTAGAAAAAACATCCAGAGGTGCCTTGAGCCTCACGTACACTGTGATGCTGTCAGTGAAAACTCACCCCATGAACCAGTGCCCAAGTGTCTAAGTCTTTTAATTGCCCTTGTAACTGCAGTGACACCACAGCTTTCACTAAACTCCACTCCAGCACACAGTGAAATGCTTCTTTTGAAAATATCCCCAAATGTAACACAAATAAGTATGTGTGCACACTCAGACACACACCTGTCACTCAGGTACTTTCCTCCTGTTCTGAGAATGTTGTCTTTGGTTAATCTCTTGTTTTTCTGTCTCAAAAAGTTGTTATCTTGCTTTTACCTCCTAGTGGGGCAACAAAGTACTGCATGGCCTTGCAGCCAGAGCAAACTGGGGCAAATTAGTCTGGAATTAAACAGATATATGAATGCACACAATTCTTGAACTAAATAAAAAGATGGATAAAAACTCATCCTACAGCAAAGATCAGTGCTTAAAAGTAAAAAAACCCCACAAACTAAAATTTTAAACATATTTGAAAAGACATTATGTTATGGAAGGATTGAGAAAACTTTTCAGTTCTTCAATAGGACAGAAACTGTCATGACAAATGCAGTATGAGGAATGGTCTTTTAAGTGCTAGTTCTTTCAGATTTTTTTCCAAGAGATATCATGTTAAATTCATAATCGTATTGAATTCAGATCAATAAAGCAAATTTAATAACATGCAATTTTTGCTTTTCTGAACATATAACTACTCATCTATCAGAATAGGGCCTGCAGGGCTTATTCTCTTCTGACCCCATAAGTGTGGCAGGAGGTATCCCTTATTTTCTAAGAAATATAACGTTTGGCAGTCTTCTTTATGCAAGGGAAAATAATATAGAAAAGAAATAAAACACATTAGATTCTCACGATGGATCTTGAACAGCCTTTGGCAAATAAAAAAAGAAAATAAGAAAAGAAAAGGCAACAGCATAGAACCGTAAGAGAGGGATCCAGTACTATCTACTTATTGTCAAGATGCCAAGTAACAAAGCAGGATCATTTCTAGCACAGAAATTGAACTCAGAACAAAATTCTAAAAGAAAAAAAAAGCAGGTCCAGTACCCTTGCCCTGTAGCACA